TCTCTTAACTCGTCGAGTACCGGTTTTATAGACACAATTAAAGAACAATAGGTCGCGGTCACCGGTGACCGCTTGGTGTTTGACAGATTAATTAATAAGTATTTAATGTACCTGGCATGCGCGCCTATACCTACGCCTTCGGAGATTTAAACACGTGAGACGGTAAGCTGTATTCTATTATTTTTGTAAGTAAAAAGATGTCAATAACCTCATTACTATACTATTTATGTCCTACTTGTAAGTTGTACACATTATAATGAAATCATAATCAAAGCATTGCGTTGTCAAAGGTTATCATAGACTGTTTATCTACAAAGTACCTACTTAATTAGAACTGTTCTTTGATCTACTATAATTTACACAAGTATCCAGACCCACAAAAAAAATATCTTGTTATTACCTACATGCTAACTAATTTATACTTCGAGATTAAGATTGCCGAAGATAGATAGGCATTAAATCTTATCGAACTTATGATTAATACGGTAGATTAAGATTGGAAGGGGGTAAAATTGGTAATAAATTGTAATTACATTCTTTATGAAGTGTTAATAGCATCAGTATTATCTTTAGAACATTTTAACGTTAAATCTAATAATAGGAATAGGATTGAGAATCCCACGTGGGAGAGCTTTGCTTCGGCACCACGAATAGGTCGGCCCGATCGGAATGTCACGGCCTTACAGAAAACCTGAACGGTGAAACAAAAAAATCTCACACAAATGCCGACCACATACTTAGGTACTTGTACAGTGGACTGTGACTGCACTGTGTTGCCAGCCTGCTCTTTTACCATCCTTTCCTCCTTCTATCCCATAAAAAAAACCGGAGGTTATACGCAGGGGTCGTGCGGTCCATGGCCCTCTACGGCGCCCCTGTGCGGGCGCCGAACATGCTGCGGCGTCCCGCTCGGACGCTGCTCATGTCACAGAGGGTCATGGCGATCCGAGTGATCCGCGGATACGGCACGATCTCTGGGGAGTCGGCGAACCTCCTTGCCGGATTACCGCCGTGGGATCTGGAGGCGAAGGTGCTCGCGCGCGTGTATCACATGCGCGCGGAGGCACGTCGCCGGGGCGAAACTCCGCTGCCGCGCCAGATAAGTGTGTGGCGGGATGAGCTCCGGCGCGATCTCATGGCGGAATGGCAGCAACGACTGTCGCAACCGAGGGTTGGGCTCGCTGCCATTGCAGCGGTAAGACCCCTCTTTGAGGAGTGGCTTGAGAGACGCTACGGCGTCCTCACCTACCGCCTGACGCAGGTCCTCACCGGACATGGAAGTTTCGGGAGGTACCTGTGTCTGATGGGGCGGGAGGAAACGCCCGGGTGTCATCACTGCGAGGACCGCCCTGAGGACACGGTGAAACACACTGTTGCGGAATGCCCTGCGTGGGCTGAGCACCGCCGTGCCCTCAGGGAAGTGATCGGCGATGGCGACTTCTCGCGTCCGGGCCTAGTGCAGGCCATGATGCGGAGCGAGGGAGACTGGGATGCCGTCTCCTCCTTTTGCGAAGCAGTCATGCTAGCTAAGGAGGAGGCGGGACGCGTAAGGCAGCGAAGCGCTGCCTCCTCGCAACCCAGCCATCGCGAAGGACACACCGGGCGTCGGGGATCGCGGGACGATCTCCGGCCACCGTAAGCGCGGGCCTGCGGACGGCGAGCATGGGTGGCTCCCCGTCCGACCAGAAACAGGCCCGAGCGTACGGCGCGTCGCGTTCCGCGCGCGCCTCAAAAAGCCATCAGACCACCACAGATGGGGCCCAATAGGGCCGATGCCGATTCAGAGTCGCGGAGAACCTAACGGGTAACCGGGGCTCCGGCTCGACGTGCAGGAGAAGGAACAGGGTGGTTTTTAGTCAGTAAGAGTCTGACACTCCCTTCCGCCTCACCCAGGCGGGAGTCATTCGATGATTTTCCCCCTTAAAAAAAAAAAAATCCCATAAAAAAGAAATCCAAAAGCAGAATGGTAACACTACTTTTCAGGTCATTCTAATGAGGGTACTTGAATAATTTGTAATGCCATAGATAAATAAGGTTCAATGAAAGGATTGTGAAACAAAATTATAAACCAATGAAAAATATGATGGTAAACAAGAAAAAACATATCATTGATTTAATTTTTTATATTTTTCACTAACAAATAAGTTTACAACACCATCATTTCACAAATTATGATGTGTCAAATCAAACGGTTTTAAGAATTTCATTGAACAAAATTTAAGCTGTCATTTAAATGATTCACAACCTCCATTTAGGAAAATATAGATAGATGTATATCATAAATACTAAGTAACAAAAGAAAACATGCTTATTAAAAGAAATTATGTATTTTAGTTTAAAGTGCATGTGACACTGATATCACAGGAGTAACATGGTTGTAACACTAACAATTTAAAAAGCCATTACATCCTTAGTCATCCCAGTTAACATGATGACAATCATGCCATATAAATGATCCCTTTAGTGACTGAGGTGCTTCCAGTGCCAAGTACAACGGAGCCTTTGCACCTCGTTCTGGGGTAAAGTCACCCATGCCTTTGGTCATATCAGTCATCACAAATCCAGGGTGGACACAGTTTATAGAAATGTCTTTGCCTTCTTCACGGAATTGTCTTTGCTGAACAAAAGTTAATGCAGACATAGCCACTTTTGACACTTTATAATCTCCATACTTGCCCGCTATGGAAAAAAATGCACTTTTTCCCATTTTGGCTGCATTTAAAAACTCATTGACAAACTCCAAAATTTGTTCAACAGTAAGATCATCTTTTACCAGCCTGTCTAGCCATACCTGTTTGCGAATATTGGACAGTAAGCCCCAGTCACTGCTAATATTTATTATTCGGGCGGTATTTGTAAGAAGAGGGTAGAGTATTCTTGATATAGTCAATAGACTCGTAAAGTTGGTATCGATGAGTTTCTTCGCATCTTCATATGAAGAAATAGCTTTGTCGAAGTCTAGAATGCCAGCGTTGTTTACCAAAACATCAATGCCAGAGTGATGTGTAGAAATATGTTTAGCCAAATCTTCGATGCTTTTCTCGCATGTAACATCCAGTATGTGAAACAACGGTTTTAGGCCTAATTCTTCTAATTTCTTTACGGCTTGTTGACCTCTCTCTTCATTTCTTGCCGTAAGATACACAACACCATCAAACTTTTGGCACAGCCCTTTCACTATTTCGAATCCTATCCCCCTGTTGCCTCCAGTTACTATTGCTACTTTGGTTTCCATTTTGTACGTAGAAATTTAGAAACTTATTATTAATTACGTAGAAAATACTACGTTTAAATTGTAAAAATAAATATTTATTTTATCAATGCGCCTAAATGACATTTCGTTTATCCGGTAATTTTGACATGCTTGTGGCGGTGTATGGCCAACTTGACACTAATAGTGACACTTCACCAAAACTGTCTAATATGAATGACTTGAAAACAAGTATTTTAATCCCAACATACGTCCAATAAGAAAATAATTTTCTAATCAGAAAAAATACACATGAAAAGTAATATATTTCATAAAAAAGCGTGCAATGAAATGAAAAGTAGGTAAATTAAGATTGCTAGCTATGCAATGTGCATATCTCACGCGAAGGTGTTAAGAGTTGCGCAACTTTTTTCACCACATGCCAATCGTCTTGAGAACCTAGAACCCTAGAACCAAAGAAAAATACTTGGGAAATCATTGTCATACCAATAATTAAAAAAACTAAATAAGAGCGCAACGTATCGCAGATTCGATTTTTTGAAATATCATTAGGTTTGAGAGTGTACACAAAAGAAAATCCTAGTTTGTGGTCGTTATTATTTTCTTCTAAGAATATTTGTAGAGCTCTCAGCCACCATAAAGGTACAAAATACATCCTATTCGGTGATGACACCAGCAGAAAGATCATTTAGGTTCCTTAACTTCGGAAATATCCACACCAACACAGCACCACATCTGTTTTTACATGCATGACGTCACACCTTTGAAAAGGTAAAGGCTTATGAAGAGCTGCACATTTTCATCCACTTTTCTATCAGTTATTAGTCCGTGATAAGGGGTTTTGCCTATTATCATAATTATAATTATCGCGGGCACAAAACCATACTAGCTACGTGCTATTAATTGGTAAGAATTTTCGAACGTATGTACCTACTTCTAAGACTATTATCGGGCGAAGCTTTACCTGGAAATCGAACCCGAGTGTTTGTTCGACAGTCGCGCTTGCACTCGACCAACGAGGCAGCCACAAGGGTTTTATTTAATTTAATAAAACAAATTCAGCAGTAGATGATATGATATGTACGAATAAAGGATTAGGTCAGGCTAATAAGCATAGAAGTCCACGTAGGGTTGACTGCATGTTGGCACAATGGCTGGGTAAATGGCTGCTGCACAATGTGTAGCTGGTTCGATTCCAACAACTTTGTATGATCCACAACTTGTTTCACCTACCGATATATCTAGTTTATTTTTTATTCAATAGATAGATGCCTGTTGGCCAGTCCATTGTTCACCAGTAAAACTATAGAGACGCGATGTATATTTAGGCAGGTATACAATATTCTTATTTATAAACGAAAAACACATTTTTACATACATATTTGATATTTTGGGAAATTAGGTACAATAACAGTTCAAGGAGATTTAATAGCCATTATGCGTGTTTTAAAATATAATGAAAGTTAATCGAAACTATAAGACATTATGAAAATGTAACAATTAGATACATTTACGTGGGACAAATATGCAAAGAATAAAAATGGAATTAGCTAACTAATGCTTATGAACAAAGCAGGCAGTGTTCTACGTTTTTATAAATATGCATCTTAAATTCAAAATAATACAAAATCAATCTTATGATAATCAGATAACATTACTTTTTAAAATGCAATTTAACTACATTCCTATTTACACAAATCATATGCTCAATATAAATCAGCAAAGGATTTTTGTTCACTTCATTCATCACTCAACTTAAAATAAGAATTACAGTTAGTGTAAAATTAAATTAGTCAATTTTTACTGCAGCATAAATTTTTCTTATAAAAGTATATGCTGCGAAGAATCCGATGGTGCCAGTGAGAAGCCAAAATGTTAACACCATAAGACCTGAAAAATATAAAATTTTATAGACACAAACACCAACCAACAGCTATGAAACAAAAATAAACTATTAATTATAGATAAACTACTTCGAATACCAATTTAATAATTAATTGTGCAATTAAAAATATCTTCCCCTTTTCAGTTGGAAATTTTCGACCTTTCACCACGATTAAAAAGTAAGAAAATATTAATTTTCTAATTACCTGTGTAGCCAATATAAAGCAATGTTGGTATAAATTCTGTGATTTCCAATTTCGTGAAAAAGTAAAATATCGAGTATATTAAAATATAAACAGCAGATCCTCCCGACACAACAAAACTCTTCCACCACCAATGGTAATCCTGAAGACAAAAGAAAAAGAAATAAGTCTTGGAATATTAAAAATTGTAAGAGTAAAAGTAATGATTACCGTGATTACCTCTCCACACAGTTGAAAATACACCATAACAATTGATATTTGTGATACAGACACCACAAGTATACAAAATACGAGGAATAGGAATCCAAACAAGTAATAAAACTGGTTCTCCCACAGTGCGTTGAAAATAAAGAACAGTTCAATGAATACTGCCCCAAACGGTAGAATGCCAGCCATCAAAATGCTGAAACAATTGACATCACAGTATTACTGTAAAAGCATGAAGTATATTATTACTAAACTAACTTACTATAACAATGACTAGATTATTTAAAACATTATTTCATCATTTTGCCAATAAACGATTTGATTTGATTCAGTCTAATACACCACAGCTCCATATTCTGCAGTCGATCAAAAATTATATATTTTTTTGCATCATATACTATGATATGTATAATTCCGAACGATATTTTGGAACATCACAACTACAATCAACTGTATTATATCTTTGAAGTAAAGTAAAAGGTCTTACCAAATAAATATGTTCATGTACCAAACTTGCTCAGGGACTTTCCTTGGAATGAAATTAGTTCGAACTGGATGCTGGAATGGTTGTTTTCGACATCCGAAGTAATATCCCAAATATACTAATGGCAATGATATGCAGAACCAAAGACATAATAAAGCCATCATGGTCGAAAATGGAACTGCGCCACTGGAATGTTTACCCATAATAAAAAAGTTTAAAAAGAAGCATGTTCCAAACACAATAGCTGGGTACAGAGTCGCTGTTAGGAACGCAGCCTGCTGCCATTGTTTTCCCTTCATAGTATTGTATAATCGTGCCGAGTAATAGCCCGCAATGAGGCCCATGAACACATAGAGAAATATGGCGGCAGTCATTAGCGCACCGCGGCTCGCCGGTGACAACATGCCAAGCATAGCAATGACTGAAAAGTACAAAAATATTAGTTAAGCAAACTTATTAATAACTATGTAAATCAAAATATAAAATAACACATTTTTATTAATATTGTCATTATCCTCACAAATATTCAAATTAAGGACCGAGTAGCATGATTAAAAATTTAATGATTACTTTTAACAATGTTTATTTGATTAACAAGCGTAATTGCTTTACAACTTATCATGGTTTTAATTGATCAACATTTAGAGATTAATTCCAAAGTTTTATCTAACTTGTTATGATAACACCACTTATCCAACTCAATATAAAACTCAATTACTCAAACCATGCCAGTTCATAATTCCGTGTGATGTAAAAAAGAGGTGAACTTACAGATTGTGATGAGGGTCATGAGAAACACTTGAATGCCACTACCAATAACAGCCGCAAATAACATTCTCTTTGGTGGTGGACGAAACACATCACCATGAACCAACTTCCAACCAGTTTCTTCCATCATATCATCAATGCTCTCATCTGAATTATAACGAGCTATATCTCTTCTTAATGTGCGCACCATTATCATTGTCAAAATACCTGAAAATTTAAAATTTGTACAATATTAATAAAAGGAATATTTAGTTATTACAGACTTCATCTACATATACATTTTTTATTGACAATGTTCTTTGTCTAGTCTTTGGTAAATATGCGATTGAACAGCTGAACTAACATTATAATTCACAACTATTGAATACCTAGCTAGGTAGCTAGCTGTCTATTTCTAATAGAAAATAAATAAATTACCTGATAAAAAGGACAAAACAACAATGGAATTGATAATGGAAAACCAATGGATTTGGACATCTTTCATGCCCAAATAGATATCCCATCTTGATGCCCAGCTTATTTCAGATTCTCCCCACTCAACTGAGTATGTGAAATATAACTTAGTGCCAGTGTCTTCATTGACCAGCTGTGGTCTGGGGTCTGATGGGAACTGGCATGAATCATCAGCAAATGTCAGTTCATCCTTGTCTACGGAAACAGTTTCCACTTCAAAACCAACCACTCGATAGGAGTCTCTGAAAAATCGCAATGTTTGACAATTTTAAATCCTTTTTGTATAGTCTATGGACCTCGAAAGACCTTACCTGGACCTTAAGAGCTCGAAATAACATTAATATTTGTCCCTATAACATGTTCATTAAAAACACATAAGGATAACTTATTTATATAATTTAATCACTTATCCAAATATTATTCTTGAGTGCTAGTAATTGGTAACATATCATTGATTTCTCATACATACAAATTGATCATGTATAATATTTTTTTTTATAAAATCACTAATATAAGAAACACAATTGTACTTACTGGCTATGCTTATGATATTTGAGTAATAGTTTCAAATGATTGTTGATGTATGCCTTGCCTTTCGACATAAAACCAAGACGATAGCCTTGCTCTATATTTCTCTCAGAGGTGTCACTGTTTGTAATTCTGGTAGCTACTGGTAAATTATCAACAAGCCTAAAAGGTAATTTAAATCAATAATTAATCACAAGTAAATGGATAGCCAAAATAATCACAGGGCCATAGCTGTACACTTACATGTTTATATTTTCATTAATCTAAGTACACTTACTATTAAATGATATTAAAAATTAACATTTTATACTCACAAATGCACAAAATATTCGTGTTCAATACGACCTGCAACTTTTTCAGATTCCTCAACACTCCAGTTTATTGGATTATTTTTCTGATGGCATAGAAGTCGGCATTTAATGTTCTCAGCCATATGGACTTCATACGGGGTGTTTACTATCCGGTCTCCACGTAATACTTCACCTAAATTCTCTGATTTATATACAAATGTACCATTCTTGGGTAAACACAAAGGTAAAGAATAATATTCGTATGGAAGTTGTGTGTGTATACTAGTCATTTTGACAGCTTTAACTTCAATCCTCTGGCCTTTTTTGAATTCCACCGGAGCCACCCCGGGTACATAGAATCCATTACTAAAGTTAACGAAGCTGCTTAATAAAAAGCAATATAAAAGAACCTACAAAAGACAATAAAATTACATATCACTTCAATAGAAACAAAATAAAAACAATACAATTTAATGGCTACGCACCGATAGCATATTGTAACAAATATTATTTAGATAAAATTAAAATTAAATTATAATCATTCTACAATAGCTTGTTTCGTCGCGTTTACCATTTATCTATCTCTATCCGAGTATGTATTTAGCTGCCACTTTTTCTGTCAAAAATGTAATAATGTCAAATTTGACATTCAATATGGCTGCGTTCAAAGACGACGTTTGTCCATGGTGGGTACATACATATCAACGTCCTTGATTAAACATTAGTATAAAACACACTAACCTGGCAACACTGACTTCTAAACCATAGATCGCATCTCTATGATCTGGTGTCATTTAGTCATTTAACAACATCTATCAATCAAACGAATATCTAGCGAATAGTGCCCGCCGCGCGTCACACGCACAGTTGATTGGTTTTCAGTGACAAATTATAAGATTTTATAGTTTCTAAAAGTGCATCCGTGGATAAATATTAAGTGCCATACCTTCTAAATTATTGCACTACACATTTTGCCGGACAAGCTGCATTATAAGAGAGGTTAACAGCACAGCATTATGGTTCAGGTGATTGTTTTGAAGTTTAGTTAAACCATGTGATTAGTCATTAAATTAAAACTAAGTTATTTTTAATTAATTTACAATATTTCGTTTTCCACTTTAATAAACCCTTGCTGTAAACAAGACTGAAGTTGATTATAATTTAACTGTATCATGATTCTAGGCTTCAGAGGAAGTAGAGCAGCCTGACCTGCCTCAAGCTGTAAAGCTACTTAAAGAAATGAACACTAACGTGCAGCAGGTATCACAACTCGTGGACAACATGCTAGTGCGCGTCAAAAGCGGAGAACTATCTACAGATAAAGGTCTTAGTTTTCTAGAAATGAAATATCAAATGCTACTTAGTTATTTAATTAATTTGACTTATATAGTTCTAAGAAAATGCTCTGGTGAAAGAATAGAATCAGACCCATCGATTGAAAGGCTTATTGAAATAAGAACCGTTCTTGAGAAAATTCGTCCTATTGACTCCAAACTAAAATATCAAATTGACAAACTTGTAAAAACTGCTGTTGTTGGTGGCACATCAGAAGACGATCCTCAAGCATATCATGCCAATCCTGCAAACCTAGTGAGTAAAATTAATGACTCTGCAGAAGAATCTAGTGAATCTTCAGATGAAGGTGAAACCAAGACAGACAAGGCTAATAAATCAAATATTTACGTGCCCCCTAAATTAGCTGCTGTGCACTTTGATGAGAGTACCTCAAGAATTGATAATGATAAAAAGATGAAAGAAAAATCAAAGAAGCAGTTCTTGAACTCCAGCATAATGCGTGAACTCCGTGAAGAGTATTCTGAAGCTCCACTAGAAGTCAGCACAGGGAACCATGTAAAACAGTCAATATCGAAATATGAACAAGAAAAAACTGAATATGAAGAGAATTACTTAACACGTCTGCCAGTTACAAAGGCTGAGAAAAACCGCAGGAAAAAATTATCTACTGTAGGAATGATTGCTGATGAAATCACAGGTACAAGCAGTAACCGTGTATCACGGAAGCATAAAATGAAATCAAAGAAAGGTAAAGGTTTTAAGAGAAGGCGTACACAATGAGATAATATTTTCAATTCAATTTTGTATCAATAAGATTGTATTGTTGTAAAGAAATGCCTCACTTCATAGGATTGGCAACTAGAGTTCCATGTTATTGAATTAAACTTATTTTTCTCTGTATTTTTTTGTTTTTTATGTCACACAAAAACTTGATTCATTACATACTTCTGAGAATAATAGTATGAATCACATGAATAAGTTGGAAATATTTAATTTTGTAAATGGGTTTTCCTAAATGTTGTTCACAGATATAGGTAGTCAAATAAACATAGAGCAGGCAACAGAGTAGTTGTTTTAGTTTAGTATCTTTACTGAAAATGAAATGTCTTAAAATATTATGCACTGCAAGTTGCATACAAAGCCGAGAATTGTCTACAAAAAGCTTTGCGAAAGTACAGTATGTTCAGGTATCTGCTGTATAATACTTCAGGAAACAACTAGTGCTGCATTGCTTCTGAGAGAAATGTTCAGCAGAGGTTAATCATATAATTTAGAAAGTTTGGTAAATTCTAAATATTTCTGCATGTGTACCTTATACAACTAGCAGTTTGGTGTATGTACTGGGAAACCGCTTACATTTTCTTTACACTCTTTATTTTATTTTAGTTATTTATTTTTAAAGTGACTATGTTATGTGTAACTAAATATTTTGTGAATATTTTACTTGAGCCTTTTTAAATGGTTATTTGATTCAGATTTTAGTATTCGTGTTGTTATAGTGGCAACAGAAATCAATGATAATTTTGTATAAAAGAAATAATTTTTTCCATAATAGAATGAAATTTGAATACTGGCACTGCCGCTGCCACTAACAAGATTAAAAAAATGGAATAAAACATATTATAGGTCTAACATTTATTTTAATTAATAAAATTAAATTACAATTTTATTAAAGGTAAAATAAATACATAACAATGTTAATGAAAACGATTCTGTATAAAGTAGATGCATAGGAAATTTTAAAAATTCATGTTTCATTACTGACTAGCTGTTTTGAAACAAACTAGTTATTCATCCAAATAAAAATATACGAATTTAATCATTTTCAGAATCACACAGAATTTCCAAAGTTAATATCTCAGTTAAATGAGCTGGGGTGGACAAAAAGAATTCATAATCCTATGTTTAAGTTCTATTTTGTTTTTGTTTGTGTTTGATTTAATTTTCGTTTATTTTTGAGATTGAATAATTATAATAAATTAATGTATTCATATCTTTTTGTTTTCATTATTGTCTAAGGATTTCTCAAGATTGGGGAAATTTTGAAGGCACGTTGCTGGATCGAAAGATTGGCAACGGAATAATCTCATTTCACGTATGTGTCCTATAGGCGTGTGTGTATCCAGACACTGGTAGTCACCACGTGGTGGTGCTGTGCCGTGGTTGTGTGTGAGGTCCGACCGAATCACCCTGTTGAGCAGCCAGGGCGGAGAAGACATCATCAACTGAAACAAAAAGTGTCAAGTCAGCTTATTTCCACATGTACAGTCAATTTTTTACGAGAATGGAAAGTTATCAAATGACTCCCGCCGTGGGCGAGCAGGGGAACTGTTAGACTCTGACTAAAAACCCCTGTTCCAACTCATTCCCTATTCTGGGGCCACCGAATATGGCTGGTCTCACCCGAGATCCTGGCAGTACTTACCTATAAGGCCTGCCAATTTGTTTGTCTATTGAAGAAATTTGAATACATACCTACGTTAAAATACCTAGGTACCTAAGTAGGTACCCTGTCAGGATCAGGCAGAGTATAATTCAAAGGTGACTGACTGACATAGTGATCTATCAACGCACAGCCCAAACCACTGGACGGATCGGGCTGAAATTTGGCATGCAGATAGATTTTATGATGTTGGCATCCGCTAAGAAAGGATTTTGATTATTTTCATCCCCAAGGGGGTAAAATAGGGGGTGAAAGTTTGTATGAAACTTTGTCAATTTTAAACCGATCGGGTTGAAATTCGGCGTGCAGGTAAATATTTTGGCGTAAGCATCCTCTAAGAAAGGTTTTTGAACATTTCCACCCCAAAGTGGGTAAAATAGAGGGTGAACGTTTGTGTGATACTTTGCCAGTTTTAAACCGATCGGACTGAGACTTTGCATGCATAAAGTTACTATGATATAGGTATCTCCTTAGAAAGGATTTTGGTAAATTTCACCCCTAAGGGGATAAAATAGGGAATGAGATTTTGTATAAATCTTCTTAAACATTGAATATAGTACCATTGAATCTTTTTTAATTACCTACATTCGGTAAAACGATGACCTGGGTAACGTATGATAAGTAGTTTTTATCAAAGAAGTCCCACGGGATCGGGAACTATGCGTCAATGCCCCAAGACTCTACCTCTTAACCACTGAACTTAACGAGATTCGGTATAACAATAGTCGATAGAATAGTGGTTATTACTCAAACTTTACGTGATCGGGCACTGTACTGGTAAGATCCATGTGGGATTAATTTATTTATTGAAACAACGATAAATCATTTCAGAATAGGTAAATCTTACTTGGGCACTGAATTGATTTTGATGAATTCTGTCAGAAGTCATTAAACTACGTGGACGAAGTCGCGGGCAACAGCTAGTTATATATAAAAATCTAGGCTGGTCTACTTAGTTCTCATGTGTGACATACGTACCGGCTTAGCCACTGATGGATAAGGATTCCTGTAATCGTCTTTTTGAGTACAAATGTAATCCATGACTCCGAAATCTGGAGGCAGTTGGGCTAAATCGGCACTTTTCATTAACTTATTTCGGCCTGGAGTGCTTCATAACATAAAACAAAAAGTATAAGTTGAGTACAGAGTAGAAGATTAAAGATGACCTACCAAAGTAATTGGTTAATAATAAGGTTTCAAATTCAATTCATTTATTCAATACAGAGAGAGAGGTCCCAAGTGTGATTACGAAAGGTTCAGGATAGATAATTCGAGTATTTTTCAGTTTTCTAAAAATCTCAGTGTGCAGCAGTATCGATATCCATCCTGGATGATTTAGCTAGTGCCTACGATGACTAAGTATCTTTAGTTTCCTCTTCTAAACATAATTTTCAAATTATCATGAATTTTACACGTCTGCGTTACGCAGGCGGTGTCTTATCTCATACAATTCCTTACATTACAACTCGGTAGCGTGCTACCGGTACCGTGCAGGTCTACACATACACAGTCAGTCTGCTTAGGTCATTTCGCATTGCATTAATATCAACAACTTTACTTTCAAATTATAAGTTATAAACAAGAACATCAAGTCTTATTTCTAAATTCCACTTACTCTGTGCATGGATAAGATGTGAAATTAACTAGTGGCTTGAAGGAATATATTGGATCAGTTTTATTAAATATTTCTGCGAGCATGTGGCGAGTTTCGGTCATGCCCGTACCTTGGTCATTATCACCCAAACGATTGTATGTGCTAACGTGGTTACTTAGTTGGTCGCGATACACATAATTATCTTTTTTCTCCGCAAGTATAGCAAAGTTCCAGTTTTCCACTTTTGTTTTCGGACTATACATATTTTTCGAAAACAAAATCTGCTGCGGCTTTTTCGCCGTTGCATGTCGACGTCTCATTTTTCCCGAATAAATGAACCTAGACCAGTAAGTTTTACCGGTACTACACAAATAAACGGATTGTATTGATTTAATAAAAATATGTTTTACAGTTAGGATGTAGGTAGCTACTATCTCATGACAAAAGTCAAATTTCTAACGTCATTGTGATTTGAAGGAATTAAAACGAAACCAAAAGTATTTATTATTGTCTAATATTGACTGACTGAAAAAAGACTACTCATATATATATACTAGGTAAGTAGGTACTATCTACTAAGTATTTATTCAGGCACCTATTGTTGCGTGATGGGTAATCGAATCGGGATACGTTGTCCAACCATTACACTACTAACCGTAATTTTCTTTTTTGCCGCGACACCTCCAATATCGTTGCGGAAGGGCGACCACCTCGTTTTAGTTTCATTCACAGTTTCGCTACGATTTCCGTACCCCGAGAAACGCATTACGTATTACGCGCTACGATCTACGCTCTACTATCTCTGTACTACGAACTAAGAGCTACGAACTCCGTACTACGAGCTACGCTCCACGAACTCCAGACTACGAGCTACGAAAGATGCGCAACGACGAACCATGCGCTACGAATTCTATGCTACGAGCTACACGCTACGAACTGGTTCCTTTTTGACTATGCGAGGTATATGATCTTGGCAACAATTTACATGACATATTGTCATATATTGTGGGGATTTTAATTTAATAGATACACAATATGTATTTGTGGACAACCCTATGCTAATTGCTAATTTTGTTCATTAAGTGCTGTCAGTCATAGTAAATGTAGGCGAGTGTTATAGCTAATCACTTTAATACCGGTAAGTAAGACAAAATAGAAAGTATTTTGCATAGATCTGCGTACCGGTATACACAATTAAATGATTATATTTCAATGCACTCGAGATCACTTGGCAGTTATCGTCATGCTATCTTTACTTCATCAGGAATTCTCAAGAACGTACATACCAACCTACCTATTTTCTTCTTGTAGGTAATAACAAAATAGTACAACAACATAACATCACGCTTTTTATCCTCGAAGGGGTAGGCAGAGGTGTACATTGCGGTACCTAAAGCCACTGTACAGTGTAACACCCACTTTTCAGTATTTGTTACGAGTCCCATGTTATAGGGGGTGAGCCTCTTGTCATATACCGGGCACTTTTCCAGACTCCGTGATAATACTGAGATTTTTTTATGAACCTAATAATAAGTACACAGTCAAGAAAAAAAAAATACTAGAGTAGACACTTACTTGGAAATTTTTAATGGTCTTTATTCATTTAGATCTTGCACCGTGTCCCGCTGGTGTACTCGGTGGTGCTATAGTTTCATTGTACGTAACCATTTCTTTATACTTCAGTTCTTCATCTCTCACGCGAATGCTTTCTTCAGCGCATGAAATAAAAGCTTGAAAAAATTCGAAAAACGAAAGTTCTATGTCTAGATTCATAATTTTATTTTGTTCACATAGCTGTGGAAATATTCTTGAAAATATTTTTATAATGGTTTTGCTTGATAAGTTGCCGAAATTGAACAATTTTAAATTCTCAATATCTTCTGGTAATTCAAAAATATCAGGGAGCTCATTATCATCTGGAATAAATACAAATCGATATTATGTTATAAATGGCTATGAATTCATATATCTATAGTATATTTAATTACTGCAACAATCGGGCATTCAATGTATAAGTAAATACTTTGGATAATACTTACCAACAACAAAGGACAATTCATCTCCAAATATATAAACGTTCCTCCCTAACGGCAGGTATACATCGGGTACTTCAACAATATCTGGTTGAAGATGGTGCAGGAAGTGTGGTGATCGGCGAACGGCGCATAGAAAAGTGCGCACTGTGTGTGGTTCTCCCAAACTGCGATATAGGTCGTAGGTGGCTCTTAACGGTACAAATTGACCGAAACCATTTACCAGGTGACCTAAAATTAATGTTAATGTCTTAATATTACACATATATTTACACTCACTATCACTAATCAGAGTTAGAAACTTGAAACGACTGCTACCTCTCTGACGAGTAGTTCCCGGAATAACATCATTATCCATGAAATTTCTAAGAGCACATGCTATGATTGTGTCAGGTTTAGCACCAGGCAATACTCTTTTTGCATATAATCTACTAGCAACCGAAATTACACTATGTAAGAACTGCCAAAAGTAAATCTTCTCGAACGGATTGTGAGCAGACCTTGCAAGCCATTCAGGATTTTGGTGATAAATCCTATCAATCTCAATGAGTGTTAAACCTCGCTCGTGGACATTACAGTCGTAATATAATTGCCATAAATATAAACGAATCAATATAGGCGTGAATCCTACTTCTTTAGAATTGCAAATAGTAGCGTATTTATAGTAAATGTTCAACAATTCAGTTTCGTAGCATTTCAAACAATTTCGTAGCGAAGTTTCCTCAAACATGATTAACGTGACCAATTTTTCTTTTCTAATTGCTTCTTCTGAGGAAGTTTCGTCAATTACACCAATTTTTAAAAGTTCTTTATTTATAATATTATTATTTTCCATGTATTCGATGATTATATTTTTTCTTATTTCATCCCGTTTATCTAAATTTTTAAACGCTTGATCGACATGATAACTGAGGCCTACATTATTGTCGCATATATCAAATTTATGTGGTTCGTGGCTTATTGATAAATCTCTTTTGGTTTGCTGTAAGTATCTTTCTTCGGTTCCAAGCGCTGGTGCTATATTGTCATCAATGAAAAGGTTTTTATCTTGGATAATTAATCCATTGTTCGTGACAAACTTGCCAACTCCATGCTTTTTATTTTTATTGAACTCGCCCTTATAATGCGAGCCTAAGCCCAATCCGAGGTGAAGAGTACCATAGCCATGGCGTTGACCTTTTTCCCATGTACCACAAAATGAATTTATAGAAGGCACTGACATTGTGTTATTATAAGAAGTTTCCCATATGTAAATTCCGTAACCGGACATAACTCCATTATGCCACTCACCACGGTAAAACTGTAAAAATATATAAGTTAGTTTATTTGAGACAAGATGGCTTACTTAACAAGATTAAAGCAGAAAAAATGCTGTAAAAAACCAAGGCTTAAAAACAAAGTAGCGTCGAAAACTTGTTCCAGTACACAAGACTGTAGTCTTTAGGTTCCTAAGCACTGGAATACAGTACAATAATTTATTAGGGATAACTCTACCTCCTGGGTAACTCTACCTATATACCTAACGAATTAATGGCAAAAGATGTCTATGAGTTATGAAAACGAAACTTACATCGTGGTTTGGCCATATCATTAATCCCTTCCCTTGCCTTATATTTCTGTCCCAATCTCCTTTATATCCACTTGATTCATCGTACTCTCGAGAACCGTACCCGAATCGTTCATTCTTGAAAATATATATACATGTACAATTAATATTTGTGACTATAACACAATAATTCTAAGTAATAAGTAGCACGGAGTCTGGAAATGTGCCTGTTATATGGCAATAGGCTCATCCCCTATTAGACTACATGGGACTGAACAGCATAAATAGTGAAAAGTAGGTGTTACATCGTATAGTGCCGTAAATATGCACCTCTGCCTTCGGGGATAAAGGGCGTGATGTTATGTTATGACAATAACACAATCGAAAACAATTGTGGAGGTAACCGGTATATTAAAACACGTACCAACAAAAAATTTTATTTCTTCTTTCTTTCTGTGTTTTCTAATTTAGTTTGAACAAAGAAGCAATTTTTAGGTACACCCTAATCGTAAAAGTAATTTTGAAAATAGATATTATAATGATATACGAACTCACATGAATCCACTGACCATCATAGGAATTCTTGAAGTTATAAGAATAGTAAATGACTCCATCTCCGTGTTTAGTTCCACAGTGCCACCCGCCCACATAGGAACGTTGGGTGCGGGAGTCTACATATATGCCATTACCATGGCGCAGGTTACCAACAAACTCTCCTTCATACCACGTGTCATCTTTCCAGTGAATCATACCCTTTCCGTTGATTTCATTGTCTTTAAATTGACCCTTAAATAAAATTTGTAGATAAGTAGGTAGTACCAAATTTCTAGTCCTACATGACGAGCCCAAAATTTACAAGCCCTACGATGTGAGCGCAAGCTACGGCTACGGTCGTCTAGTCGTAGCTCGTAGCACTTAGTCGTAGCACTTTTAAGAGTGTTTTAGGGCGTTAATCTCCCAAGCCTGTAAACTGTGGACTCGACTGGCGAGTCAGCCACGAGTTAAACTGACTTGACGTTGACTCAGGTATAGTGAGTCAAAAATGACCGTTTTGATGCGCGTCATGTACACCACGACGTAAAAATTATAATGATGTTTGTACTCTTCTAGGACATTTTTGTGGAGTTTGTAAACTCTTTCCGTGCGACTAAACGGAACGGAAAACACTGCTATGCGCTTCTACCTACGTGCTAGAAGATATGGCTACAATATTTCGCCGTAACTTAAAGGTATCTCATATGATACAGTGTTCAACTCACCAAATAGGTAGTTCCGTCACTCCAAACAAAACGACCTTCTCCGTGCATACATTTAGAAGATATGCTTCCTTCGTAGAAATTGCCGTTTCGAAATTTAATAATGGCCTTTTCATCTGGGATAGCCCACCAAACCGTTTGGATAGAGTCCATCTGTGCATTTAAGATATATAAATGGAATTTGAATGCTTAAGGAACTTTACTCCAATTCTTTTTATCGACGTTTGGCCACTGTCTTGCCTGGTGGGAAGTGATGATGATGGGCCCTGAAGACACCTAGATTCGAGGAGAACTTCCTGTATAACTATGTAACCCACCTTTTGTTAAGTTTTGTAGCTATAGATTGCAATCGGAACAGGATACATTATATTAACTAGCTCCTCATAGGTATTAATTTCCACACAAGGATTAAACTCACACCTAGAATGTAAATATTTTAACTTATCCTGTTTTTGCATGCTACAGAAATATTAGCAAAACATATTGTACCTTAACCATGTTTTTGTAACACCTAGCTATTTACCAATTTTTAAGCAAACATGTTATTTTTATTATAAGATCGCTCGTAAAGTTCGATAATTTTAATATCAAAACATTATGTCAACTTATTTACCCCAAATTCAATTCTTGATCGGCTTCGTTTACTTTTAGATCCTTTTGCTGGGAAAAGAAAAAAATGTACTTATTGCAAATATTATAAAATTTCAAAAAAGGTAACTTTAAATTTCAAATTTAACTCTTATGCAGATAAGCGTTTAACGTCAAGAAGAGTCTGGCTTATTACAAAATGAAAATCTAAGTGTGAGACTAACTTGTAGCTTTTTTCTTTTTCCCGCCCATGAACGTTGTGTCACTCGTTGTCCTGGTCGCAAAATCGAACCGAGAGCTGTCCTCTCCCTTTGTTGGAATAGTTTCCCACGACTCTACAATGCTCTCTAACATGGCATCGAACATCATTGTAATTATATCTTTTCGGATGGAACCTTTGGGGCGAGTTGACATAGAAGCCGAAGAATCACTATTTAGTGGCACAGTAGATTGGGCTCTTACTGCAGACCATGCATCAAATTCGCCTTCCAGGCCCGTCCGTTTATGCGCTACCAAAGAACTTTCACGACGTGTGACCGTACGTTGAGAATCCACGTAAAACATCCTGGATAAATTATTAGGTATTTAGAAAGAGTACAAAATATTAATTATGATTGAACAATGCAAATTGAAACTGCTGGAGGTGTATATTTTTTGTTTATTCTTCAAGCAGTTTGTCCCAAAGCCAATTTGTCAGATTTTCTGGCTTCTAACATTTTGAAATGTTTTGTAGATCTTTGTCATGAAATGACATTGACTGACAATTTTATTTCTACAGATCCGAATATATTTTATAGACAAGAATAAGATTTTAATACATAAATAGGTACGCTTGGTTTATGATTTAAATAAGTAATTAGTAGATAGATACCTAGTTGCAACCCTAGGAGCAACGTCGAGATTGCCAGCTAGGCAAGCAGTTCGACTAACAAATTCGTGCCCTCAATGAACCTAACTAGAGGAGCAAAACCCTTTATTCGACATCGAGGTCGCTCAGGTCTCATTTTTAATTTTAGGTATCCAATTCCGTCACAACACTCAGTCCTTACATTTTCAGATTATCAGGGTCCATTCACTTTTCTTTGGTACCTATCTCGTATTCTTTGGTACCTATCGACCTAAGGTCATTTGGTACCTACTTTATACAAAAAATAAAAAGCATCACATTTCAAACTGTTTTATTTTAAAGAGAAATTTTATTTTATTTTTTAACTTGCGGTTTGGTTTATCGTGATGGTAGCGTAGTCCACGATGTCCACTCTCCTTCATGGTAGGGGAACGTGCAAACTTTTTATTTAAAATTGATTCACCTGAAAATAAAACATAGTAGGTATATGGTTAGGTAGGTACCTATTACCTAAACACACAAGTATTGTGATTTATAAGTACCTACTTGAGCATCAGCACTCTTGACCTTTGCCAACCACATTAAACACAAGGTTGACTGGGAGAAAATGCCATATGGCATTAAGTCCGCCTTGCGTACCTTATTTTGTGTGCATTAAAGTGTAAATAAATAAATAAACCTAACCTGATGTCTTCTATATGAATAAAAAATCTAAATAATGCCTTGTGCGGAAATTAGGTCCTACAAGGAATGAATGATTCGTATCTACAGTTGGGTAAGTTACCTTATCATTTAAGCAGACGTTAAATATTTAAGAAACGTTTCAGTAGTTAAATTTCGTATTCATCGTGTTATATATTTGAACTTGATTAAATGAAAAGTGAAATTACTAATAAAATTAGTAGTACCTACTCTTCTCAATTCGAAATTACAAACCGATAATAATGTTTGACAGTCGCAAATAACACCGCTCAAACAACGAGGTACCTACCTATTTCTAATTTAAAAACACTTTTAACCATTTTATAGGTAATCCACTGACCTAATTTTCTGAAGGGTCTCCAAAACCGCCATATGGTAGCATCTTGATCAAGGTCTTTCTCGTTTGAGATCCACTCGTCAGACGTGGAATCATTCGCTTCATTTGTTTCACCAAGCGTCGTCGCCGTCACCGTCGTCGGTAGAGCCGTTGTTGATGTCGGCACTGTCGTATTTTCATGACCATAGCACAATGTCAGGACACACAATACTGCACATGGAACTGATATCTTGAAAAGAAGATAATAACATATTAAGATTTATTTAACCCGATCAGTTGGTTACAAGGATAACTTTATTGACACTTTTTAAATAACAACATTTACCTTAACACTCATTTTAAACTGAGTAGCGATTTCCTTACGTGATTAAGGTACGAATACTATTTTATTTCTAAACTAGAATGAATAAAACATGTACTTATATCGGGTATTTCAACTTCTACAATGTGGAGCGGACGAGTTAGGACATAGGTAGGTACCTACCTACGATAATGTTAAAGCAATTTCAGTGATCCAAATAATCATTGTGAAAACTGGTAGAGCCGTTTTTATTATTTTAATTATAGAGCTGTTATAATAGAGCTATTGCATCTACAATTTTTTATCACCATTTAAGAGTTTTTTTTACGATCCTGTGTTAACAATTTTACACATAAGTACCCACACCAATTTCAAACGAATAGATATTTATCGGAAACGAACTGTTGCGATGCGTTGGTGTCAGGTAGGAGTTGTTTATTTTTTAGGTACTGTACCACTGTACCAATACATGGATGTACCCATGGTCCCTATGTATATGGTGGTACCAACTTATCATACTAGTATTGTACGTTCTATGGTGTTTAGCACTCAAATATAGTCAGGTAAAGTACAAGCACATAGTAAACTATAATTAAGTAGGTAAACCTATCGTTTACTCAAGTTATTTTTAGGTGATTGAAACAGCATTTAGTGCGTGCTTTCAAGCGTGTAGTTCAGTGACACGTGGGGCGGCACGTCAAGCGTTGACTGCGGTAACTTAGGTACTGCACACACCTTTCAACAACCACATACGCCACACAGGATACGGACTATGTATTCAATATCAGTGTAACTACATACTCTTCATTACAATATTATAACTATCCCTGTATTATGTAGTTACCAATATTTCGATGATTACACACACTAGTGAAAAAAGTTAAAATAATACAGATACCGAAAAAGGGGGTGGATAGGGATCGAGAAGTGAATAGAGACAGAAGAGGGGTGAATAGATATTGGAAAATTCTTCATAGTATCGATTCACCCCAATTTACCGTTACCGTAATTATGCCTGCTTGGTGACTACCAAGCAGGCATAATTACTTTGAGACTTCAAAGTGAAAAATAAAGAGGGTACATACCACATTCATACATAACGTCAAATCTGTCTCCCATGGGTAGACAGTTTTTTTATGGTATAAGGCGGTAAACGTGCAGACAGATCACCTGATGATAAGCAATCGGCGTCGCCCATGAACACCTGGAATACCAGACGCGTTACAAGTGCGTTACCGGCATTTTGGGGATTAGGAGTTTGAGGATCGTTGGGGATTTTTGAGGGGGGAAATCATCCAAATACTTTTTCAGCCCGGGTCTATTTTATAGTGTATCATCTATGGCCCGGGTGAGGCGAGAGGAGTCTTTGGGGTGTCAGACTCTTACTAAAAACCACCGCGTTTCTTCTCCTGCACTTCGAGCCGGAGCCCCGGCAACTCGATATGTCTTTCGCGGCTAAGACAGATAGTATGAAATACTAATTGCTATGATTCTTATATCTCTTTTGCTTCCTCGAATCTTTTTACACATGCTCCAACGAGAGTACCAGCCCCAATTTGTAGGTACTAATTCCTACCTAACAATAACATAGAGTTAATAATAAATTAAACCAGTAATATTTTTTCCAAGAATTTATTAAAACAAACATTAGATTGCACACCATTTAGGTACTTTAATAAAAATAACATAACACTTACACCTATGTGTTTCGCACTCTAGCTCAAATGTAACGAAAATAAATAACTTCCGATGTGACAACTTATTTACTTAGCTTAGCTTATTTAGATAGATAAATACATGTGTTTATATCACAGCTGCATCATTTGGCTATAATACAATTTATTACATTATAATATTTACTTAAGTTAAGCGAGGTGTTGATGCTAGATAGGATCAAATATGTACAATAAGGGCCAGTCCTCACTGCCAGCACGGCACGGTATGGCATGGCATGGCAATGGATTTTATTACTAGTCAAACTATTTTCAATCTTATTTCAATGAGTTTAGAATGCATGTTACTTTATTTCGATACCACTGTGTCCCTGTGTTGGGGAATAATGATTGCTAATCTGGTTGAAATAAGGTTGTAACTTGCAATTTGCTCTAAGCAGAATGCTTCTTTGCATGCTGCGGGATACCGCAGCACAATCTGCCGTGCCATGCTGGTAAAGAGCGCCGGCTCTAAGAATTTGAAGCAGCGCCTGGGCATCGCAAGATAATCTATATTATCTGTTAACCTATTTGTTTATTTAATACTGTATTTACAGTAAGCTAATGTTTACATAACAGTTGATTGAGCAACATTATCCGGCGAATATTCAAATAATCATGATTATTCAATCAACAACACAACTTCACACTTTCAGTGTCAAATAAATATTATCAATTTGTTTCGTAATATAACAACAGGAATTATAATTTTCAATGTTATTATTATTATGTATGTTTATTGGGGCCGATGAGCTAATTAATATTACATTACATACTACATTTCAACGTATGCTTGAGCATAACGATGCCGTGACTAGTCAATTAGGAGGAGCACATAGTGTCGTTGCATAATAGGAATATTTGAAAAAACAAATTTAATTCATAAATACTTCTAAAATATTAATAAAATATTTTAATAGCTAGCGTAATCAATATATTTAGTTTGAATTTGAACTACTTACATCTTACAAACTATGACAACATATGTACCTAAAAGATTTCAATGAACCTGTATTCTAGTAGACCATCTCATGCCTAGGTGTAATTTCGATGTAATATTAAGTAAAGTAATTCTAATTACCAAGTTAATTAATGTGTCTACTTTCTACAAATTACATAAACACTAAGCTGTACAAAATATTAGCAAAGATACATCTTAGCTGCTTCAAGTTGAAACTCCACAATGTGGATAGCTTAGAATCTAAGTTAGAGTCCCTTTAGCTTAAGAGACTTTCTACATCAAGCTACTTTTCAATTTTTGTCTGTTATTTCGCCTTTAGGTCGCCGCGTTTACATACTCTGTGAGAAAGGAAGTCGTACTTTCATTATAAGGATATCATGAGTAATGATTCGTCTAATATTTATTTAACAGCTTACTTCTTAATCCGTCAAACACCAAGCGGTCACCGGTGACCGCGACCTATTGTTCTTTAATTGTGTCTATAAAACCGGTACTCGACGAGTTAAATACCACAATGTTTTTAACATTGTTCTAATATCAATGAACACTTTACATCCAGGCACTAGCTTTTAGATTGTCTACGATGGTGGCACGTCTTCTGTGACACACCCGTATACATGGCTCGAAGGCCAGTCTGCGCCAAGGTCACGAGTCGTGGAGCAGTCTCTGATAGTGCGGGAACACCTCATAGGGAGGTACATGCAAGCCAAACTCCAAAGCCACTAGTACTGCGAATTCGAACCGCAACAAATCTTTCCTATTTACTCTGAACGTGGTTTCGATGCGCTGAAAGGATAATAGGCATAAATATCATTATTAAGTTAAATATAAAACAAAAGATGGCAACATCTATAAACTGTATCGTCGAAGACTAATAAAAAATATGTAGTTACTGTCTTACCTCTATAAGCGACTTCAAAGCTTCTCCTTTCACGTCATTGAGTTTCGCAGACAACAGTAAACACGCCCCAGCACATAATTTCCTATTGTCTTTGTTAATGAGATTTGCAAGAATCAATTTCTCAAAGTAAACATACGCCTGGGCGACTGACAGTAAATCAACTCCACCACTGTCGTGTTTAGCAATCTTACGCATTTCTTTCTTGATGCTGTAAATATGGTACAATTAGTATTCAACACATTCAAAAGTACATCAAAATTGTTATGAATTTACCTTCTTAATTTACTGAGAGTCAATTTTATATGAGGGAACTTCTCTCTGAACTTATCATTTAGTTCCTTTTTGAGGTCTTGTGGCCGCACGTAGTCAATGATAGACGTCATGTAGGATGTGAACGTCAGAAGTGTTCTGTGCTTGCCAGCTATGAGCTCTGGGTCATCTAGCACATTGGGGCAGTATTGAACCTGTAACAAAATTAATTCCATATAGTGAAGTATTGCAGAGATGCATGCATATTCTATTGGTTCAAGGTTCTAAAGATTAATTACTATAATGTTATTTACACCTACATATTTTTGCGAGAGTAACGTCCCTTCATCCCAGTCAAATGTTTTCATATCAACTGAAGAGTGTGGAGGAGATGATGGAATTGCAGTCCTCTGAGATGATTCATAAGAAAAACACCTAAAAAGATTACAATAGTAATTATTTCAATCATAATATTTACAGATGTGCAGGCTTATTATTTTGATGTCAGAACAAATAAATTAGCATGCATTTAGTAATTTGTTAGTTAGATGTGGTGTTATAACATGCTCTAAACTGCTAAATACAAGGTTGTTGTACTTGTTAATTGTGTTTGGAACCTCTCCACCTCATATGTTATATTCCCAATAGTCATGCATGCTCTATCTAAGATCATTCTCTAGTTGTGAACTTTGTCATATCAAAGCCAGGTTTGTTGAATGAATTACCATGATTAGTGGGTGAGGTGAGTTTTACGTAATTAGTAATTGTAACATGGATTTACATAGTAAAAGGTAAGTGGAGAATATACTAAAGTTTATCATTAGAAACCAATTACTCCCAAATATCAAGCTATAAAAATATTCACTGCACAACACCTAGAGTAACCTGGTAATGTGATTACTTGACCAAAACTAAGCAGTATAAAATACAAATTATCCTACTGTATATTGTTAAATATACAGAAACAACTCCATAGTTTTAGCAGGGACATAATAGCATTAGCAAAATCTAAGTGTTGCATAGCAGATTTTAATCTGTTCAGTGTTTACCATTTTTTATCCTTGTGCCTCGTCAATAACTTAGTCCTGAAAGTCAAATTTGTTAGTGATGAAATGATTGTGAAGATCGTATGAATTTCAAAATGCATTCTATAGTAATGTATGCTAATACCAATGTGTGGAACATTTGTAAGATAGTTGTGAGTGTATGTTTGTGAACATGTGTAAATGTTTGTTTTAATAACTGATAAATAATGTAAGATATGAAGTGCACTGCATCATATTTATAAATGTTTTGAGACCATTAAGATCTAATATTGATAAATAAGTTATTTATTAAGTGTAGAAATGTAAACTAAACACACTGCAAACAATGTTATGTTGAAATCAAGAAAACAACATCAACACAAAAATCAAAAAGATTGTAGATACATTTAATTTTCATTGCATTTATGATATTATTTGTTTATGTATGTAGAATCTACCTAATCACATAAATAATATAGTATTAAATAGAGAAGATGGACACTCATTGAAAATGTAAAACATTCAAATAACATGCACAACACATGGTCTGTGTAAACATCTAGAAGGTTGGTACTCCAGAAATAACATCAATATTACACATTGTCAACAGGACACTTATTTATACTTGGACATATTGATGGATCTATTCTGCATTTAATCCTACCACTTGCATTGATTCTTAAGAACTTACAAATCATAAGAATCACATAAAGTGGTCAGTAGTTTAAAATGTTAACAAAACCAAAATTACCTGGCAATCACATGGGGATGTCTGTTTACTATTTTCCAATTAGCCTTCTCAGTGAAATCACCTTCATACATTTTTTTATACTGCTCCCTAGTACATACTTTTGAAGGCACCAACAGCTTTGAGTATGATATTTCCTGACCATTTTCTTCCTTCTCCAAACCAAGAAGGTCAAAGGGATCCATACCATTGTCGGTAATGGATGAGAGTGGTCTTGGCCCTGAGGTGTTTCTCCTCCTAACACCATCCTTTCTTAGATCAGAACTAAAAAGAAAAAGTACAGTTTGTGGTTTATCTTTACCTAAGTTAAGTCACAGGTTTCCATACAAATAATGAGACAAAATAGTTTACCGTGCATTGCGAACAGTCTTAGAGTATGGTATAGTGCTGAATATAATACAAGGGGCACCCTGTCCTGGTGCTATTGCCAGTCTCTCATCCCTGAATGAAACTCCTTTATTTGGTCTTACCATGCGGACCTCTTTTGTTAATGCATGATGTTCTGGGATACAAGTGTTACTGGTTCGAAACTTGCCTGAAAAGTTATTACATTCACAGTAAATGTCAGTCCACAGATAAGGTCACATAGAACATAGACAATGGGTTATTTACCAAAGTTAAGGCTTTCTGAACTGCTTTTTTCATCTGCATTAGAACCAGTGAGGGTAACAAGGTGAGTTTTCCTAGATCTAGATGAACCATGCTTTTCCTTAAATGATTCTGTTGTTCCCGAAGAACATCTATAAAACAAGAAATGTATTCAACAAGTTAAGCCATTAGAATGCAAAACACTTTTTCCCTTTATTGTTACTAAGTAATTTAGTGAAATACTTTTATCAAAATAGTAAAGAGTTATTTATAAGATTATTGATTATTTTTAATCTTTATTAATTTATCTACAATCACAGCAGATAGGCAATATAACAGATTTTGGTTGATTTATGGATTATTATCAGTTGTAACTGAGTATGTTTACATTTAACAAATATTAAATTAATGAGAAATATTATAAATAAATGGTAATGGTAAAAGTATAAAATAATTTAATTACTTCATTACCATATTTAGCTTTACAATTCAATGCTTTACAAACAGTAATTTGTTAATTAAAAATACTATAAATAAGGTAAATATGGAATAATGTTACCTTTCCCTGATGAAAGAAGTATTTACACCCTTTACAGGTGTTATGGTGTTGGTGTGTTCTGAATCTGAGCTAACAGAATGATTGTCGGCGCCAATACGGTGGACTGGGCTTGAATTTGACGCTTTATTCTTGTGTCGGACACTGTTTCGTAAAGCAGTATCCTTGACAATATCAATTGCTTTTGAAGCCGATTCTATTTTGTCTTTTTTGGGGGTTTTTTCAACTACATGAACCAACTCCGGGTCTCTCATCTTCCCATCTAATGATATATTTGATAGAAATGTCACAGCAGATAAACGTCTTCGAGCTTTCTCATATTTATTGCGATTGTTAGACATCGTTGTAATGTTTATGTAAGCTCGACACTGATATATTCTGATAACTGACCCCACTTATATCGAATAACTAAGCAGTTTATATAAAAATAAACTTTTGCACGGTTCCGCCAGACTTCAACACGCAAGCACAGTCTTCATCAAATTAAAACTTCAAGGAATTATGAAAACTGAAGCAAGTCAAGATCAATCTAATTATATTTAAATAGATCCTCCTGGTATATGAAAAACACTGCTGAAAGAAAATAATCGTTAATTGACATTGACATTCTCAGCTGTCATTTCTATAGTGTCATGTGTCGTTGGAAAGATAGGAAAAGGAAAGAATTAAATTGAAATGATTGAAAATATTTAATATTTAATTTACATAATATTACCAATACTTTAAAAGCCTTAATATTAAAATAACTTGATTTAGTTATACGGAATTTACTTATACGTTTAATCATGTCATATTGGATATAATTATTTCCATTGGATTTGTTTGTAATTTAGTTCTCGACTTTCCGGAACGAGAAATTTTGATAACGTTACCGAATGAAACTCTACCTGTCAAATCAAAAGTTTTGACATTTACCTTTAGAGCTAGGTGGAGTGAATAAATAACTTTTTACTGTCTTATACAACTTAATAAACAATTTTATTAATCAATCCAATGGAACCTAATATACCTGGATCATCAACATCTTCAAGGGCTACTAGATTTATGATGGAAGGAGTCGGAGCGCGAGTAATTCGGGGTCCAGATTGGAAGTGGGGCAAACAGGTAGACCACTGTTTATTTTTCTTAAATAATATTCAAATAAATGTTCTCAGAAATTGTAAACATGTTGTGCTTTTACTTAAAATTTAACAATATATCCTGTTTGTTGAACAACCTAAAATATTTACATATACACTCAAAACTCATAAGTTTTATGATCATTAATGACAGATTCCATTTCAACAAATCAAAAATTAATTATTAATTTGAATGTTTGTGGTTAACTTTATTAAACAGCACTTAGTTAAAACATATGAAACATTCATATTCTATGTATCAAAATATTTGTTGGAATACTTGTACTATGAATTGTGAAAGATGATGTAAACAATAATCTTATGGGAATATGTGTGCAGGTTTATGTTCTCATTGGAGTATTTTGTCTTTATTCATTCTGGACTCATATTTTTGTTGCACGAACTTCAATTTCTTGCTAAACTAAAATTCGCTCATGGAATCAGCTGGCTACTTTGATTAATAGAATGTTCAATGTCATCTAGTAATAAACGTGTGAAACTTTTTTACAGGATGGTGGTGAGGGTCATGTTGGTACTGTGAGGAACTTTGAGTCTCCTGAAGAAGTAGTTGTTGTGTGGGACAATGGAACTGCAGCCAACTATAGATGTTCGGGAGCATACGACTTGCGCATACTGGACAGTGCTCCAACTGGTGTCAAACATGAAGGAACTATGTGTGATACTTGTCGACAGCAACCCATATTTGGTTAGTATAAACCTATTTCTGATCAGATTAATTAGCAGCTAAATAAAACGGAAATCTTTTTGTTAAGCATCTGGTGACCACTCTCCACTAACTCCATTTTATACCTTATTTCCTATGTTTAGAGACTACTTTTTATTAAACAAATTTTGGGGATTTTTGGTATGACATAACATCACGCCTTTTACCCTTTTTTAAGGGGTAGGAAGAGATGCACACAGAAGTAACACTCACTTTTCACTGTTTATGTTATGAGTCCCATGTAATAGGGAGTGAGCCTATTGCCATATACCGGGCACAATTCCAGACTGTGCTACTACTGAGATTTTTTTAAAAACCCAGTAATACTTTTTTAACTAAAACATCAAAATTGTTATAGGTATCCGTTGGAAGTGTGCAGAATGCAGTAACTATGATCTGTGTTCAGTTTGCTATCATGGTGACAAACATAACCTCAGGCACAGATTCTATCGTATAAGTGCCCCGGGAGCTCAAAGGTGTCTTGTTGAACCTAGACGTAAAAGTAAAAAGCAAGCAGTCAGAGGCATATTCCCTGGAGCAAGAGTTGTGAGAGGGGTATGTTTATGTGGATTGGATATTCAATATTCCTACTATCATAGAAAATGCAATCTAAGCAATATAAAATTGATTTGTAAATAATTTTCATTCCAAAAAGACAAAAAAAAATGTTTCACTGATTAATAATATCATGTGGTATGATACAATACTATATTTCTAGGTTGACTGGCAATGGGAAGACCAGGATGGTGGTAATGGTAGGCGAGGGAAAGTTAATGAGGTACAAGACTGGTCAGCAGCGAGCCCTCGGTCTGCTGCATATGTTGTGTGGGACAATGGTGCCAAGAATCTCTACAGAGTCGGATTTGAGGGCATGGCAGATTTAAAGGTAAACTTCATCAATGATCAGTACCTATTTACCTATTGTTATATTTATCCTGTACTGAACAAATACTATGAATGGCTGTTATATTATAATTAGATTTGTAATTTTATTATTATCTGGCATTTCATTGTTTATTTTATATGGTTTCAGGTTGTGAATGATGTCAAAGGCCAAAATGTATATAAGGAACATTTACCACTTTTAGGAGAACTGGGTCCAGGTCGCACTGGGCCTCATGGTTTACAAGTTGGTGATCAGGTTAGTATTCACAATAGTATTCCACTTTTCGTTAATGGTATTATCAGCCACATTTTAACAGGAGTTTTATGTACACACTGGTCCAAATTTCAGATTTCATATTGAATCTAATTAAAAACTTAGTAGTTAGTATGTTCTACATCCAAATCTTGACTTCTCGAGCTCAGCAGTCGCGTTAACGTTCTTTATCGTCGCGACAGTCCGACATCAACATCAGAATATTCATTTTGTTCTATTGCCAATGTTTTCAGGTGAATGTAGATCTTGATCTGGAAATAGTTCAGTCACTGCAACATGGTCACGGTGGTTGGACAGACGGCATGTTCGAATGTCTCGGCACTACAGGAACTGTGGTCGGAATAGATGAGGACCACGACATCGTCGTCACATACCCCAGTGGAAATAGATGGACGTTCAATCCCGCTGTACTGACTAAGGTAAATCTATTTTTAAATATAAAGAAATAATTCTACATCGCGCTTGTTTGCTAAAGGCGTAAGTATTTATTACACTCGCTTTTCCCCAGTTTCGAGTCCCGTAACAATATCCCATGTGATAGGGGATTATAGCCATACAACATGCTCAATTTCAGATTCCAATAAGAATTTCCGAAAATTGGAAATACTCTAACATTACCCGGGAATCGAAGCTGAGCCCCCTTGCCCGGCAATCACTGCGACCAGTAATTGTTTCAATGAGCACGAAATGCGAAATCATTTGCGCAGGAATGTGAAATACATTATGAATATTTAATAATAGTTACAAGAATTTCTTGGGAAGGAAGCAACAAGGAAATAACTATGTAAACTAGAGTAAAGTAAACAGGAAAATATGTGATGCTTTGCAAAATTTAATTTTATAGCTGTGCATATTTACGTATTTTTGGTTTAAAACAACAAATTTTACAACAGTAAATTTTTGGTTTAAATTCAAAACATTTGTTTCTCGAATAAGAATTATATATTATGGAAAACGGGAATTTCATTAATAACGGCCTAATATAATATTACTAGCTTCTGCCCGCGACTTCGTACGCGCAATCCCGTTTTCTCCCGTTCCCGTAGAATTTTCAGGATTTTTTCCTGTGTTCAGAACCTTCTAATAATAACAAATACAACAAAAAATAATTAGTGTAATCGGTCCAGCCATTCACACGTAATGCCGTGATCAAGGGAAAAAAGGATTTATTTTTATATAGATAGATTATTGCCTGTCGACGTAATACAATAAAGAAGCTGGTAATTAGGAAGTATATCAATAGTTAGTCTAATGAACTTCATATTGTTCTACAACAGTTTCAATTTCCCTCCCGCTATGAGCAATTTACCGTTTACCCGTTAAAAATTCGGCTCGGCGGCTAAAAATTATTGAAATCAGACAATTAGTTCTGTAGATTAGCGCCTTAAACTCTTCAGCTTTTGTAATAAGTATAAAACAAGAAAGTATAGATCTGATGTGACACCATGAAGTCCAAAACTTTATACAAAGATCTCCCGTTTAAAACACATTTAAGATCCTCATACAAAGACTAATTTTATTAATCACATCGTAATACGAAACTATAATTCCCGTGGAACTGTCTCATACCTCCTTTTTTCCTGCTTTGCAAGGCAAACTTGTGTAAACAATTAATAACCATTGTATTTACAGGAATTCTATAGACATGAATCATGGTGTATTAAATTATATTTATAAAAAGTATAGGTACTAACGCTTCTGTATTATTCGTTTCCTCTGTGCCTTAGTACTTTATAATATAACGAAGATTTTTTTGAAATCAATTGTCGTTTAAACAAACAAACTTATTACTTTAGTAAATAATAAATATTCCTTGAGCCAGGGCTAGATAGCTTACTACTTGTCATTTATGCATTTGTGTGCTCGAATTAAGACAATTTATGAACAAGGGACGTACCTATATTGTATAATTCAAAATACATGTTTATGAGCATAAAAAGCACATCATGATAATGATCAAAATAAAATAGTCTTTATAACACAATGTGATACTATACACTAGTATACTACAATCGAATGCCTTACCTTGTACAGGAGCTCTTACAATATTTTATTAAACAAAAATCCTGGTAGGATTAGTATCTTACTTCCTACTAATGTTATAAATGCGAGTTTGTGAGGATGTTTGTTCGTGTGTTTTCTACTCTTTAACGTCAAAACGACTCAAAGAATCGAGAAGAATTTGGAACAGGCATAGATAGGTCTAGAATAATACATAGGCCACTTTTTATCCTACAGGAACGCGGGTGAAGCCGCTGGCAGAAGCGAGTAAAACAATACAATAATTATAACGGTTGGCGTTGTAGGTATGCAGCGGTAACCTGAGTGCCTCTGCGTCGTCGAGCGGTGCGGGCGGCGGCGGGTTCGCAGTGGGCGACCTGGTGCAAGTCTGTGCGGACCAGGAGCGAGTCAAGACGTTGCAGCGGGGACACGGAGAGTGGGCGGAGGCTATGGCACCAGTGCGTTACAGACTTTTATTATAATTCGCGACGGATTTTTTTTTTTGGACAAGCCCGCCTCTACTTCCCAAAACTGCTGCAACTCTTGTGTAAGCCACGATCTACAGTAGATACAATCATGAAAACACCGCAACCGCAACCATGGACATGAATAACTGTCTTGGTGGACCGCAACAAAGTGAGTCAGAAGATGTAAGAGAAGAAAAAAACGATAGTTTCCACTTCTCTCGGTGAACTACTGCAGTATTAAGGCTTAAGTCTTTTCATGCAAGCTTGGTGACGGAATAAAGACTCGAGAACTTCGTATTAACAGACCAGCCATCGCAGTGCTGGGTTAACTGGACAGCAGCATAATCTATTTGTCAGCCTCTGATTATGACAACCTCCTTAAGAATTTTTCCTTTTTCAAATGCGAATGTCTTCGTTCTCATGATGATATCAATTTTTTTACCCCAAAGGATAAGCAGAAAATCTAAGTGTGCATGTTATAAGTACCTAGTAACCTAGTACCTGTTATGTTTAGGTAGTAGTTTACTCAAATACATAACAAAACGTTTCCTCTTCCTCAGACACTTGGCAAAATAGGTCGCGTTCAACAAATATACCATGACAACGACCTCAAGGTGGAGGTGTGCAATACATCGTGGACGTACAACCCTAACGCCGTCACTAAAGTCGCGTCCTCCGACGGGAGCATCCCTGGCAACTCATCAGGTAAGTATTTGCTTATTTGTTACTAACTCGCAGATGTCTTAGCTTAACAATAAAGCAGTTTTGGCTTACATTTCTACGAATACTACTTGAGAGTAAAACGTTAATTAGGCTCGCCTTACACAGTGGCCAGTTTACACTAGTCTTCACTGTAAGCTTTGTCAAAGTGAAAACACAATATAATTAGTAAAAAGTTCCACTGCCACACAACGCGCATTCTGCAATAGCTATAAAGCTTTCTTTGGCTGAACCTATGTGTACCATGTATTTGCTTACAAGCAAATAAACTTTCAGTTAGCCGATACAAATAGATCAAATGGTGGAGGGTGATGTGCTGACGAGGCTTCCGTTTTAGAAAAGGTTAATTTCAACAGAGAATTTTGATCTACGCTGGTCATGTCTAGGACACTATTAATATTGAAATATTTAACCGATAGTCTAGCGTCTGTTGGCATTTTCTAAACTCTAATAATAATTTCAGGGGAACGTCTGTCAGCACTGTTGAAGAAGTTGTTTGAATCCCACGTGACAGGCGATGCTAACGAGGAGCTAGTGAAGGCGGCCGCTAATGGCGACGCGACGCGCTGTGCTGAGATACTCGGACGCACTGATGCCGCGCATGTTGACGTTAACGGCTTCTACGGGGGACATACTGCTTTACAGGTATGTGGCTAATTAGCAACTAGAAAAGATCGTTTGTGATTTTAAATAGACTGGCAACCATCTAACTTCTCTGGTATCGCAACATGGACAACTTGAGCAGCATTTTACGCTTACCATCGGGCGAGCAGTGTGCTTGTTTGCCTCTATGTCGTAAAAAATACATTGCACATTTAGTTGGACAGTAGATGTTTTTTTTTTTTAATAAATCTTAACCTATGTAAATTTTATTGGTTAGGCGGCAGCGCAAAATGGTCACGTAGAAGTGATCCGGGCGCTGGTAGAAGCTGGGGCAGATGTAGACGCAGAGGATCGCGACGGAGACCGCGCCGCTCACCACGCGGCCTTCGGGGACGAGCCTGCCGCACTGCGAGCGCTGGCCGTGGCCTCCGCCGACCTCAACGCCCGCAACCGCCGCCGCCAGACGCCACTACATATCGCTGTCAATAAAGGCCACCTTGGCGTCGTGCGCACTCTACTGCAACTCGCCGTGCATCCTTCACTGCAGGTAAGTTCCCTTTTACTAGCCCATTAAGCTAGGAACAAATTTTTTCAGCTATTCCCTCTGAGTCGATAATACATAAGATGCTTTAAATATCTGTATCATGAAGCGTCGTGAACATTAGATGCAGCGCCGGTGGTGGGTTGAGTAGTGGCAGCTGCCCAACTGTCATTTCCTCCCGATTAAATACTCATGTAATGTAGAATTATAATACTTTGACGAAGGAAATTGTCAGCTGGTTATAAAGTGGCTTATACGTTAGCTGGTCTCACAATTTGATGCACAATGACACTTCGGCGTTGTGCATACTCTACTGCAGGTCGCCTGCCACTTTGTAGGCGACACCCCCTTACTTTGGTACATACATACCATTATGAAATGACCTAGCAGACCTCAGGCATAGGACCGACGGCTCAACATGTTATAGAGGCAAGGGACAAGTGATAAATAAATATCGTAATTAATTTGTACACTCGAAACTTAGAAAACTGAAACGTGTTCGAATCCGAGACCGCTGACTTTATAGTTCGGAACTACTTGCACTTACCGTTTCACGGCACACAACTCTAATAAGCTGTATGCACGTAAACTTGTTTATACAGCCATGAACGTAGGTGAGATGGAACATATAACCTGAAGTGTTGCTGTTTACTTTCCTTCACTCGACTCCTCGTAAACAACAGTAGTTAACTTCGCCGCCGCATCTAGGTCCAGCAATGTGGTTATAATAAAGTTGGTTAAATATGTATTAGGAATTTAACTTCACACTCGTAAATACTGCTTTTCAGCTTCACTGCTTAGCTAGTAGTTCCATTACCTAAAAGTGTTTGTGTAGCATGTGTCACCACATGTTTTCTTTTCAATACATGCTAAACAGAACAGCTAGCATGGCCGATAAAAATTGTAATATATTTTGAATCTTCCGCTTTTCGCAAAATCCAGTGAAAAGCCTGCAATGGTTGAAGAATACGTTTAACCAGTCAATATTTACGAAACTATGATTTAAGATGCTGAAGATTTCCGTTTTGTTTGTGAAGGTAGAGCACGAATAATCGCGTAAAATAACCGTTTCTACGAAATAATATTCGTTCGGAATATAAAGTAGCTGAACAGCAGCATCGTTCGCGTAAAGTTAGCACTGAAACTTTCCTCGTTGCTCTTTACTCAGAAAGTGTGTGTCTGACTATCAGAAAGTGTTTGTGTTCCGAACTGACTATGAATAGGATTTGTAATTTATTCATTCATTTAATTTAATAAATCTCGAGAAGAGCTTTAGTTATAGCGATAAATGGATTTATAAATGAGTGTTACTTGAAAAGAAATCGAAATAGAAATTTGGCATTTACATAAAAGTATTTCTTCCGTGGGAAACGTGTAAAAATAGATGGACATAAATACGACTTTTACCAACTTGTTTGTATGTCACCGGGATTCGGACGCTCCGACTTGTTTCAACTTGGGCGATCCATTACAAAGGCACACAACATTGTAACTTATACACGACTAAACTAAATCCTCGTACTGCTCGTCTTTTCTACAAGGATAATCCGACCTAAATAAACGAAAAAGAGTGACTAAGTACATCCTACGTACAAATAAATATTTATTTTCTTGTGAAATAAATAAATGACATAAATATACATAGTTCCTAAGTATATGTATAGGTACTAATGATATCTATTATCTTGGAGGAAAGGTCAGAACATTTGGTTTAACTCGTCGAGTACCGTATTTATAGACACAAGTAAAGAACAATAGGTTGCGGTCACCGGTGACCGCTTGGTGTTTGACAGTTTAATATTAATCTTAATAATCGGATATTTCACGTATACGCTACGATAAAATACCTTGTAAAAAGTCGTGGTAGCTGCTTTTCTTAAATTAATTTTATATTATTTATACAACTACTAAGTTGAAGATTTTTCCTTTCTCTATAAAGAATGTCTAATCTGTACCTATGTTAGGTACCGAAAAACGGTTGCATTATTTCATGAAAGAAAATCACAACAACCTTTTCTGTAACGTAAATTAAACATGTTCAAAACTGAGTTTTATAAGTTACGTATTCGTCTCTACTTTCTGTAAGTCCAGTCAATATCCTATCTAAAGAGTAATACGATGTTGGGTAGGTACCTACTTGTATATTCTGTGATAAGTTTCCCTGTATTTTCGTATTCGAACTAAGAGTACTCGAGAAGAGGGGAAATCTAACTACGTTATTTGTTTAGATGTTCTCGAACACGGAGCGAAGCAGTTGGCGTGGCACAGTTAGCTTGCTACTTATTAAACTTACCCGTTTGTTTACAGACTTCGTGATTTAATTATCCTAAGACATTTTTCCCTACTTGTTTTTGTTGAAATCGTACTAGGTGGAAGTTTATCGTAGGTAAATGACGAACATTGTATAATGTTCCGTTTGAGCCGTATAATTGATTACGATGTTTAACCAAAGGGCACTTGAACTATCGGGGAAGTCTTAACTACGCTATTTGTTTAGACGCTGTCTCGAACATTAATCCCCATCTTATTCAGCGCTTGGCGCGGTATTTCCCGGGACCCGTGTCTCTTGGACTTTTAATCTAGACGAGTTGAGTTTCAGTCGGTAATGAGTGTAGCGACGCTCTCAGACATGCGGTCGCCATAATTGCCAAACTTTGTGCCGCCCTAGACCCCGCACCCCTCTGCTTGTCGCGCGCCATTGTTCGCATGGTAACGCGTGCGGTAGATGCCTTTGCTCAACGCCACTTGTAAGTTCACACTAAATTAAGGATGATTACGTACGATACAGTTATAAATTATGCCGTTACATTGTTGTTGTTGCCCATGCCTAGGTATGTTCAGAGGTATACATGCACACCACGTTATATAGCCACCGACTATTGCCACTGTATCTTCATTACTCTGCCCCAAACAGTTGGATCTGTCCTGGATCTACGTTGAAAATTGATACGATGTTCTTCACGGGTTTCCGTGCTATATAATGCCGCCATAGTAATGCAGAATTTATTATTTTTTGCGTTTTGAAATGTAACAGATAATTTAGCTCCAGTTTTACATCGTCAAAATAAAGTCAATAGCAATTTGAGGTGCCCTCATCATTCGTAGTAAAAATAAAAGCGTAATTTGTTAGTCATACTTTAAATATCTCGTTGTTTCTGTAGAATATTCATTTATTTCACTTATTTATTAAAGTTTACAATAAGTCAACGAAAAAATTACAATTAGACCCCCTCTTAAAATACCGTCCAAACCTAAGTTTATTATCTTTGGAACAAATAAAACAACCAATCCCTCTTTTGTGGTTGGTTAATTAAAAAGATTTGCTTAGCATCTGGATTTGTGATCACAGTATTATGCGTATCCCTGTTAAGGTGGATATTGCTGCCCATCAACGTGTAATAATCCTCCAATCGCCTATTACGACCCCCACAGGGATGGAGGGAGCGGCTTATGCTCTTCCAGGTACCTGGCGACATGTTGCTAAATAAACTGAATCAAAAGACCAGGATTTGTAATAAACGTAAAGGTCGTAGGTATATATTATATATGTATGGAGGTTAAGTGTGTGTCTCTGCTATCCTGACCACCTATGATTTTTTATACTAGCTGCTACTGCGCGGTTTCACCCGCTGCTCGGTCGTAGTAGTGTAATGTTTTATAGCCTAAAGCCCTCCTCGATAAATAGACTATCCAACACAAACAGATTTTTTCAAATCGATCCAATAGTTCCTGAGATTAGCGCGGTCAAACAAACAAACTCTTTTTATGGATTAGTATAAGATATATATTTATTGGTATATTTGTTAAGACAAATATTGCATACAAGTGATGAAAGACTTGGAGTCATATGCTTGATTAGTTTATAACTCTTAATTAACAACACCTATCCCATTGCGTATTTCTTGCACTATTATCTACTATTAATTAAGTATTTCTATTTCAGAAATCTTCTCTAGAAATTATCGGCCGTAGGATATAATAAATTCTTGGAAGATTATATTTAACTCAGCTCATAAATATTTTCGGAACGTAAAACTCATGGAGTTCGTTAAATTGTTTCGTGAAGTATTCCGATGCGAACTTATCTCTAAAATCTTTGTTTAATTATATAACTATTCTCTCGAGCTACAGCCATATTGAAGCGCAATTGGGCGTAAAGCTATTTAAATCTGAATAGGGCATTGTGAAGACGCGTCACCTTGATTCAGCGACGAGTTTCGTCCTTAATAAAGTTAGAGTGCCGCCGCTCGCGGACACCCATTCTGTCCGCCGCACCGCCGCCCACCGCTGCCTCGGGCGACTCACCAAATCATCTTGTACGGACTAAATGCCTTCCTCGAACCTCTTTACACTCCGCTACCTAGTCTATGTGCAATGGACCATGTGTATTTGTATTAGACACAAAGGGACAGTGATTACTTTGATTGTCTAACTATGGTTAGACAGTCATGTTCTGTCATGACACTAATAGGGAGCAATCTATGAGTTATTTAACGTATATAAAAAACTACCGTCAACGTAATTCGTACAGTCAATTTGTGTTTTATAAAAAATATCACAATAACAATTTATCCTATTTACGCATATACGAAATTCAAATGATTCTGTAACGAACAAAATTGGTCCTTACCGTGAAAGAAAAATAGCATCCATTACATTCACACAAATAGATTGTAATTGGGTTTCTGCCAGTGTGAGATGTATACGGTGCAGATTTGTTATGTGTACTCAATATTACATTGCTTTGTTACGCTTAGAAGACGGTGTCAGAAGTCAGCAGAGGCGTCTGTTACGTAAATATCGGCTGGGCGTGTTGCGAATAGGACAGAATACACGATGAGGGGAGGACGAAAGTATGGCCCGTTTATTCTGTATAAGTAAATGTATTCAACAACGAGTTAAAATAAGTTTATGTTCACTTCTTTACGTGACAAAAAACCCAATAGTGCGTATGAAAGTTTTTT